AGAACAGGAAATTTTCTCTTTAAACTAGGACAACCTGGCAATTGCCTAAAAATTATGCTATGTCTGCTCTTACACCCTATCATTCAGAGATATCGTTGAGGCATCAAGTGACACTCAGCACTGAATTACTCAGAGGTGAGTGACACTCAAACAATTTTCAAGATAAGAGCTACTATAGGCACAATACATTGGAGATTACCTAAAATACTGCAGGTGCATTTGCTTCAGCACCTAGAGCTGCAGTACTCAAATGCAAATGGTGACACCAACCTCTTCAGTATCCACTCAGAATAATGACTACCACCCTTTATTTGCCTGAAGGTAGATAATGCTGCTACTGATAGTCAAAGGCTCAGCTCTTCTAAGAAAATCCATGTCATTAAAGAGTTTCTGAAGTAGCATACACTGCCTGAGAAGGGCAGCAGAAAAATAATAAATCTGGAATTGTTTTACAATGATGACACTTTTTTTATGCTCGCCTTCAAGCAGAGATTGAGGAAGAATTTCTTCATCATTTAGGCAGATCTTTATATATCATATACTGATTCAAAATAATTAAAAGCTTATCTTTTGATAAACAAAGGATATTCCTGGAAAAGGAGTGCCAGTATTTTTGGAGATTTTGTTCAGAATAAACAGCCAAATGTTATGATGTTTACTCAGCCTCTTTGGTTTACAATACAAGAACAGAATTCCCATCAGATTTGAGGTATTTTTTTCATTCTTGTAGGTTGGAAATACAACGAGAACAACTTTTCTGATAATATACAAACAAGTCTGTATTTGATCCAAAACAAAACCATATAGTCAAAAGACAAAAACTAATTACATTTTTGAACGTCAAAAATTAATTGGCTTTCATTTCTGTTACATTTGGGGTTAAAGCTTTAGTTTTTCTGGCCTTTCAATAGAAAAGCATTTATCTTTAACTGCATTAGAAAATACAGACAAAAGAAAACAGTAATTTTACTATAAATACAGGTGATACTCAATCTACCTGTTACAGTCTGCAGATGAAAAGACAAAAATATCCACATAACTGAATTCCTTATCCTCCTTTTTAATACTTCTCAAGTGTCAACCCTCCTGAAACTCACTTGCAAAAATCAGATTGCGGGACTGGGGCTTTAGTTTGAAAGCAGCCTAGCAGATATAATCAAATATCTTTCATTCAAATGGGTGGTTACTTTGGATCTCTCTTAAATGGCAAACTCCTTAGATTATGGACCTGGTCTCCAGGCCAGAAGGATTAACAGTTTTCCACCAAAAAAAAAAAAAAAAGACAAAGGTAATAGATGCAAAATTGGGAACAATACTATAAATTAAAGATTCCTGTGTCTCACCAAAAACTATGTAATTTCTAGAGTTTTGTCTGAGCAAGAATTTAGGTCTAAATGTCTGAATGTTATTTCATTATAAATATGTCTTCATAATTCTTTATGTGATTTAACAAGATATGAACATTAAAAAGATAGAGAACTAGTAAAACCAGATTACTTTGTCTTCTGAAATATCTTGAAGAAGTACAGGAATCATAAAGCAGGATGGCAAAAAGACATTTTCTACTCTTAAAATGAATAGCAGCTGGCTTTTCTGGAGGCAATCCCCTGTGGATCCTTAATTCCTATCTTTCCTGACAATTTTAAAAAAGCTGGGGTAAAGGGTTGCTTGAAGTTTCTCAGAGTATGAACGGCAAAACAACACAGCCAGATTGTTAAGAGCCACCTCATTTACCCCATTTACAACCTGTGCATCCATCTAATTTGTTAGCACAATTCGTCAGAAGCATTTACAATGCTGTAGAAAAGCCTTACTGTTCTTTACGCTGGCATAGGCTGCTCCCCTCCCTTGTTTCTGTGGCAACATCACCTCTTGTATACATGGGGAAAGTCACATTCTCACATTATTTGCTATACTTTCAGCCAGTATCTGAACACACTTCACTCACTGGCTGGAAACATGGAGGAGAGACTCAGCGTCAGATCAACAGCCAGATCTCCACAGGTCATGATGTCTCTACCATTGAAACTATGCCTTCAAACACCAGCAAAGCTGGAGAGGGCCACCACAGCCAGCACCAGCCATCCTACAGCAGGTTCTCTCATTTCCACAGAGGTAAGGCCAGGGAGCTACTTGGATATAGTTCTTTCAGTAACATATTTATAGATGAGATGTTTTATCTCCAGAAAAGTGATTCACAGTGTAGGCAATACTGACGGCCAGCCATATCAGCCATTTCCTGGCAGATAGCAACCTACTTGGAGAGTCAAGGGCCAAAGGCAAATCTAGCCAGTCCCCAACTGTTAGGACATGTCCACCCCAGCCACCATAAATGTCACTACAAATCAAGACAAATTATTAGCTGAAGAAAATTAACATAATTGCTGTCTTATCCCATTTCTTTCCCTTAATGTTTCTCTAAGTTGTTTCTTAGCTATCAAAGATTGACCTAGTAATCACTGACAAAACAAGGCACAGTCTGCATATTGTAATACAGAATAAATTTTCAGCCTTCCCTGCAGTTACTATCCTCCTCTTGGATGACGGCATTTTTTACTATCAAGGCTTTAGTGTGCCATCTGGTGGATTTTCAGCATTTGGTATATTTTGTTTATGTACAAACCCAGTGATACAGAGATGCCTGATATACTGACAGGAGTATCTACCTTCTTTGGCCAATGTCTTTGTTAGAGGAAAAACAGTATTCATCTTATCATCCCGTATTTGCTCAAATTATATTTTTGCCTGAGAGTAATAACTTCACTCCTCTCATCACCTTTCCAGTCAAACGAGTTTTTACTACTGTAACTATTGTAAATTTAGCTAATCCCTTACCTTGACCGATTTTATATGTAATTGAATGGTGGCTCTCTCAAAAAAACTTCCACAAAACTAGCCTAACAGAATTCCACATTTAGGGTCGCAAGTGGAGACCCTCAATGACATTTAGACGCTTAATTCTCACTGACCAAACATGCTAGGATTAGCCTCTATCTGGGATGAGGGTCAAAGATACAGAAGCAAACCTATTACCATACAACTTCAAACAAAACTGAGAGTTTGAGTACTGATTCTTCATTCTAAGTACCACAGCAACAACTGTCATTAAAAATACTGTAGGTTTTTATGATACCACATGAAAAATGTGAAGCCAGCTAAAATATTTGAAAAAAAATTCCGAGCATGAGTTTTCTACCGTATCCACCCTTTCTTTGTAACTGTGAGGCATTTCTTCATTTCTCTTTTTAATAGAGCACGAGTTGTGTGATGAGGAACCTGGGATGGATTCAATTTCAAAACACAACGAGTCCTTTGAGCACACGGCCCTAAGAGGGAGTGTATCTTCTACTCCAGCACAGCGCCACAGGCACTCTTCCACTCTGCACGAGATGCAGTATATTCCGTTGCAGCTAAGACTTCCAGGATTTTAATGCTGGATGGAGGCTGCCCTCTGAATGAATGAGCTGCAGCTGCCACAAAAGAGCATGAATGGGCAGTTGGACAAGGCTTCTACCCAACATATGATGTCAATTCAGAAACCTGGATTGAAGACGGCAACGTCTGTATGGGAATAAAAGAAAAGACCAGCTGAGAGGTGCTGGATATGTGGTTGTTAATGAATCTCCTTACTGGAGTCTGGCCGCCTTTCCATGAAGAGAAAACAAGACAAACAGATAAAACAGAAAGGAAAAGAACAGCAGTGACTGAAAATGCAGCTTTTGTTTTTGATCCCGATTGTTGCTGGCAACCTGACCGCTAGAGAAAAACAGGCTCAGCACAGTTTTATCAGCCACTGTGAGACTTGGCAAATGTACCAATGCTGTGCTGTTTTAGACATTGATTTTAGCTGCCTTTTTGGACACAGGCTCGCTGCAGCGTTGCTAAAAGGTCAGCTAAGACAGGCTCTTTTTAAACTGAAAGCTAACATCGAGAAGTGAAAAGAAGATATACAACTAGGGAAGAAAAAGAAGACAAGAAATGAATGTGAGGATATCAGGATTTAAGCGTTACAGCCCAGGTGGTTTTCAGAACTGAACTGTGACTAGGGGAGGTGGCGGTTGGAATGAGATTCCTCTCTTTGGTCAGGACATCTTTTACAATCAGGTAACGAAAGCCCAAGTCATACGATGGGTCCGAAGTCTCTAGGAGACTGCAAGACAATGCTGCTTTTGGTCCAGATAGACTATGTTGCATCACCAAGCAGCGTGACCTGACAGGAGTGGATTCGCAGAGAAAAACAGCTGGTGCTGGGACCAGGTATCTATACTAAAAGTTTAAAGGAGGTTGTTATGGGTCTACCCCATAGACTTAACGACCATTAGGATTTAAAGTTCGTTCTCTAGATCACTTTAACCTGAAGGGAAATCTTGAAGTCCCAAGAGCACTTTGCAATGAAAACCAAAGCACAGTAGCAGGGATAAATGGAGATTCAGTTAGAAAGTGCAGACCTGATCTCAACTAAAATACCTACACAAGGCCACAGCACCATCTGCCTTGGGGAGCAATTCTTGGCTTCCGGGCCAAGTGGTAGTGTGGCTACTAAAACACAACTCTCTTTAAAGACTACTGGCCTTGTCCATGTAGTTTAGGGTTTAGCCCAGCCCTCTGTAGGCCCCATACAGTATCCACAGGCTTTAAGACATTATTATTTTGCTGTAGGTTTTCAGTTTAGAGTGCCTGATATAAAGCAAAAAAGTTTTTGCAGCCTGCCAGAGCGAGACTTTCTGTAGGCTGCCAGAAAGTGCACACGCTGCCTGCTCCGGGGCACGGCACGCACGGGTAGGGAGTTTTCCGGGCACGGAAGTCCGTGGGGACAACAGTCCTTGGATTGCTGCAGGAGCAGAGGGAGGGAGCCTTTCTGGCACCATCTTGTCCAACCTGCCTACAGGGACAAAGACAAAAGTCCACATTTTTCTTCATGCTGCCTTTCCATCTTATTCTGAGTTTTATTTAAGGAGCAGAGTTAGGCTTTTATTATCCTGGATAAAGTTGAGTGTAGTCCTTAGTGCATTGTATGTTCTCACTGCAACTAAATCCACTCATAAATAAGAGTTATAAAATGTATATTTCATTTAGGAATAGAAGTGGATGCAGTTATTGTATAAGGTCTTTAACCGAGATTGAAAACACATTGCAAGAATTAAATATGATCTGAATAGATGAAAAAAAAAAAACCCAGATATTTCTTCCAGAAAGCTGAGACTGTATAACATACAATTAATTTCAACAGACATTAAATACTTCGGAGGATTAAAGCCACAAGAGAATACAGATTACAGCAGCTCAAGACATTTTCTCTTTCAATTTTGCAAGTTCAGTCTGACATCTGAAAGCCATTTTTATGTCAGTTCTTTCACACTAATCCAACTTACTTGCAGTAAAGTACTGCAAATTATACCATTTGTTTTACCTGTGAAAACTAACAATGTCCTGTCTTCACAGTACATTCAGTCCAAGAAAACTTTCTGGTGATGTAGTATTTCAGTAGTTTCAAAGGCATTTGAATCACTTAACATTTTATTGGGAGTTCAAGGATTTCTGATATCCGATGTCAGGATTGTTTTTGTAGAACAACAGCGTTTCTGAGGCCCCCACAGTGTAAAAGGAATTTTAACACCTTTGATGAAATTGATGTATCAAAAATGTGTAACTCCCCATGCGGATTCAATCAATTCGAAAGTGTACATTTACTAAAACAAGTTAAGTTGATATAAATTAGATTTAAATCAAAGAAAGAATACCTTTTTCAAGGTTTTGCACCAGTTCAGTTAAATCAGTTTAAGCAATCCTGTGCAACTTGGTGCTCATATAAAGCCTTGACTTTTCCGGACAAAGTCTTTATTAACCAGCCACAGGTTCCATTGGTTACAAAAAGACAACAAGATTTTTTTTTTTTTTGCTATTACTGCAGCTGACTTCGTAGGTCATTTGCAATGTACAGTGCACCAGCACCCCTTTTTGTGAATGTCATAATTTCATCTTTCTTCTTCTTCTGCCTTTTCATGTGTTCTTAATGAAGTATTACGAAGTTTGTCATTATATGCAGAAATTAGACTCAGGCCCTAGCAACAGAAAACAAATTCTGTATTCCTAGCATTGGCATATAAAAAGAACACCATTTAAGGTAACTTTGACATCGTAAGAGCGTCTTTCGGCTGTATTACCAAATGTTCAGTTTAAATTTACGATGACACCGTAACACAGTGTTTTGTCTAAGCTACCAAATGTTTGGTTCGGGTTCACGGGTCAGTTGGTTGGGGGGGGGGGGTGGGGTGGGGTGTCACTCCACGCAAAATCAGTTGAAAAGAGGAAAGAACGAACGCCGATCGTGGAGCTACAATCCGAAGAGCAACGAAATGGCGCGCCCCAGCGCATACCTATGGGTTAGGGAGATACACCGCTGCTCCCAGGTGCTGCCCCCAGACTAACCCCTCTGCGCAGGCCTGCGGCAGGGATGGG